CTCCAACGCCTCCAGCAGCTCCAGTACCTCCAGCAGTTCCAGCACCCCCAGCAGCTCCAGCCCCTCCTGGTGAAGCACCCCCAGAACCGGCACCCCCAGTCCCAGGGTCTCCAACCGCAGTGCCACCAGCAGCAGTACCCTCAGACACACCACCGCCCGCCCCAGCAGCTCCAGTACCCCCAGTTCGACCACCTCCGGGACCAGCGACACCAGCACCTCCAGCAGGCAAAGGACCAGCACCACTCCCAGCTCCAGTGACACCAGCAGAAGAACCCCCAGCAGTAGAGCCCTGAGGTGCAGAAGCGCGACGATGACGGCGACCATACCAGTCGTGCAGCTGCTGGGAGGTGAGAGGCACACGCGGACGAAGACGGCTACTCCAAGGAGACCGCGTAACAGCAGTCTCAGAACCCTCAGGCGACTCACCCCCAGACCCAGCACCCCCAGGCTCCGCACACGGAGGCACAGTACCCCCAGACGCAGCACCCCCAGGCTCAGGACCTCCAGGCTCCTCACGTGCAGGCTCAACACCTCCAGGCTCCGCACCCTTAGGCTCCTCACGCTCACCACCCCCAGACTCAGCACCCCCACGCTGCGCACCCGGAAGCTCCGCACCCCCAGGGACAGCACCACTCCCAGCAGAACCGGAGTCACCAGTGACCTCAACAGGCGCAGGGACGGGAGGGTCTACCTGAGAAACACCTGAAGGAGCAGGGCCTGGCGCAGGGAGGGGGTCTACCTGGGGAGGACCTGGGGCGAGAAAGAGCGGCGGGAGGGGGCGAGGAGCAGTGCGGTAGGGGAAGAGGCGGTAAAAGGGGACCGACTCGTCAAAGGTGACGTCCTGAGACGCAAAGACACGGCGCGAGGCGGGGTCGTAAAACTGCCAGCCAGGCGCGTCAGGAATGGCGCGAGGGGAGAGTTTGTCCGCAGTGATATCGCTGACAAAGGCACGGGCACCCCAGACCCGGAAACGCAACGCGTCGCCAACCTTCCCCGTCCACAGCAGTGTGGGCGAGGTCTCCGGCAAGGAGACACGGGGCCAGAGGTTGAGCTGATGCGCGGCGTACCGGACCTCAAACGGCCACAGAAGATGGGGGGCAGCCGCATGGATCATGGAGGTACGAGCGACCTCCATGACCAAGCCAATGCGGCGCTCAGCAACCCCATTCTGCTGCGGAGAGGCCGGAAGCGTGAAAGTCTGACGGATGCCGTGCTTCGCACAGAAGGCCGCCAAGAGGTCTGAGGAGAACTCACCACCTTTATCAGAGTGCAGACGCAGGACAGGAAAGTCCGACTGGAACCGCTCGCGGAGCTAGAGACGAGCAGCACGGATCCAGGGGATCAAAACATCAGGGACATCCCCCTTGCGCTGCAAGGGGAAGACCGTGGTGTAACGCGTGTAGTCGTCGACAACCAGCAGGAAGTACCGCTCGTGGCCCTGTCCACGGACGCGGGCTGGGCCCCACACGTCCAGGTGGAGAGTCTGCAGGGGAGCCTCTGTGGGAGGGAACGAGGAGGAGTGAGGAGCGGCGCGCTGCCGCCCCTCAACGCAAGGAATGCAGGGCGGCGCAGGCGAGGGAGGGAGGGCAGGCAGAGACCTGGGAAGACCAGAGACCAGGAAGCGAGAGTGCATGCTACGCAGGCGAGGTAGGGAGGGGTGACCAAGGCGGTGGTGCCACAGGAGAGTGTCGTGCGACAGCCGGCGACACTCACACGGGGTAGCTACCTGAGCAGACGCGTGTAACTGGGGAGACAAAGGGGCGGAGCGTGACGCAGTGGTGAGGGTGTACAGACTGGACCCTGGCGCACGAGTGAACAAGGCCAGGTGGCGGCCAGTCTCGGAGCACGTGCAAATCGCCACACGCTGCCGGCCAGGGGTGAAGGTGTCAACCCCCGCATCCTGGAGGACAGCGTTGCTCACCAAGTTCGTAGAGAACGAGGGGAGGTGGAGACCAGACAGCTCGCCAGACGGGACCGCCGGACACGGAAGCACGGTGGAAGACCGTGCGAGCACTGGGCCCCCAGAGGGGTCAGCCAGTGAGACAGGAACAGGTGCAGGAAGGGGAGTGACTCTGGTACTGTCGCGGAAGAAACAGCGGGAAGCACCAGAGTCAAGTGTAAAAGTGTGCAAGGCCTATGCAGGCGCAGTACCAGGGGGAGCAGACTCACAAGCACCTAGTGCTGCATGCGCTATACCAGGGACTATACCAGGATCCGGCGGCACACACAAGTAGCAGTCACCTTCAGCACTAACAGACAATGCATACATAGCAGCAAGAATAGCCTCATAGTCAAGATCAAAGATAGGTACATCACGCCTAAGTAGCTCTGCCCAGTTGGGGAACTCAGTAGCATCAGGAAACTTGGCGCGCCAGGCGTCGCTAAGTCGAGCGAAGCAGCGCTGCTCAGTGTGATAACCTGTGCACTGGCGACCAGTGCGGGGACCTATGCGAATGATATAGGGGCAGCGACCAGGACCCCCAGAAGCCCCACGCCTGGCATACCAGTCAAGAAGCTGCTGGGAAGTGGGGGTCTGGCGCTGACGCTGCTGCTGCTGCTGCTGCGGCTGCTGCTGGCCCTGACCACCACTACCACCACCGCTCCCTCCTCCCCCACCGCCGCTGCTACCCCCTCCACCGCTCCCAGTGCCTCCGCCGCCCCCACCACCACCTCCACCGCCTCCACCCCCACGACCACCCCCACCACCGCCGCCACCTCCACGACCTCCACCACCTCCACCACCTCCACCCCCACCGCCTCTGCCACCCCTGCCGCCCCTGCCGCTGCGACGCTTCCCACTGGGAGCGGAAGCAGCTCCGACCCCCTCAGCACCAAGGTAGTTGTGAGCAGCAGCTGCGGAGGCGTAGGAGGGGGTGAGAGGGGAGGGGGAGCACCCCTCAAAGAGGGGAGAGCGAGGAGTGCCACGAGCAGCACCTACAGCGAGGATGTTCTTTTCTGCTGCGAGGAGGTGCTTCTCGAAGTCATCGACAGTCAGAGTGGGGGGGTCTAGTGCGAGGAAGTGGTCCCTGACTGAGCTAAGAGTGTCAGGGAGGCGGGTGACGAGGAAATAGAGAGTGAAGTACATCGGGGGGGGGGTTAGCGGCGCAGAACTCGGCTGAAAGGGCGGCACGAAAGCGAGTGTCAGTAGCGCGCAGGTGGGAAATGAGGTCCTCAGCAGTGGTGAACGAGGAAAGGTCGGGGAACAGGTAGGGTAGCATGAGCCGACCTATGGCTGCAGTGGCCGGGGAGGAGTAGCGCGCAACTACAGCGTCGTACAGCTTCTTAGCAGTTTTGTGCTGGCTGAAATGCGCGCGCTCAGTAATCGGCAGATGGTTCCTAATAGCTAGGCGTGCAGCAGCATCACGGGTTTGCCATTGCGAGCGTTCGAGAGCAGGAGCATCGGCAGCAGGAGCAACGGCAGTGCCAGACACGTAATCGAACAGTGAAACGCCCTCTTTGGCATCGGTCAGAAGGAACAGTTGGAGATAATCTAACCACACAGTGAACTCTATGGGGCGACCGTCAGGCTCGAACGCGAGAACGTTAGGCGTCGTCATAATGGCAGCAGGCAGAGGCAGGAGGCAGCAGACAAGGAGGCAGCAGACAAGGAGGCAGCAGGCACCAGGCCACAAGCAAAGACCGAGGTAGCAGGCAGCAGGCAGGAGACAGCAGACAGCAGGCAGCAGGCAGGAGCGGCCGCACGCGAGCTCCTAAGGCAGCGCGCTAAGCAGCTGCGGGCCGCGCAGGCGGCCGACGCGACGCGCGGGGCGACGGCGGGCTGCGTGCGGCGTCGGGCTGCGCGGGCTCTACGCGGGCTCTACTCGGGCTGCGCGGGCGACGCGGGCCGGCGCGCGGCGCTACAGCAGTAGCGCGCGCTAAAAACAGTGGCGCGCGCGCTAGTAGGCGAGGCGCGCGCGAAAAAAAGGTGACGCGCGCTGCAGCCGAGGCGCGCGCGGGCAGTAGGCAAGGCAGGCAGTTAGGTGGGCCTGATTCTTAGGTCCTAGAGACCTCCTGCTCTAGTTACCATGTTAAGAACTAAGGCAAGGGTGAGTGGATTAGGTAGAGATTAGGGTACAAGACTAGAGTGTCGAGGTTGTTTTTTTTGTACCCTCTAAGGCTAACCCCACTAGAGCCTACCCAATTATAATCATACAAGTATGTTTGACAGGTATCTTCTAAACGGTTCTTTGTCCATTTATAAGACTTGTAAGACACCCAAAACCTCCCCAAATACAAGATAACCCAGGCATTTTTTCTAGTGTACTTGATAAGACATATATGTCTTATATCCGGGCGATGAAGGTATAAAAGCCTTGTATCTCTTTGACTAATCAATCTACTTTGCCCTCACATACCAGCGCAAGGTGGTTCAAAGACTTATGATTATACGCTTCCGCATTTACAACAAGTCCTACCCAGAGTTTAGCCTTGCAAAGATCCTAAGGGCTTCATGTCGGCCCAAGAAACAAAAATAAAAGAACTTTAAGAGTTTACATACGGTAAGTGTAATCTGCACCAGAGCTGCTGAGTCAAGCCTAAAATCATGAGAGGTTCCAGCTCTACTGGCAGCAGTACGGATAGGCGAAGCCTTAGATGACATCAGGGCAGAGCTCTACTGGTCGTTGACCAACACAATCGCTTCTTCTGCTATCAGCCATGGCGAATTATTCCCGTCCCTTTCTGGCGCACTGACCAGGTCAGTTGTGCCACAGGCCTGCAAGTGAAAGAGGGAACATTTTTTTTTTTTTTTTTTTTGAATGAGCTCATGCACTGACGTGCTCTTCAGCAACGGTCCACTATGCACTGCTTTTCCAACTCTGCACTCTGATGATTCCTCCCCTCATGCCTCTCCGCTGCCTCATGCCAGCAACAGTCATCCACTCTCACTCCGTCACTCCCCCTCTCACCAATTTGCCCCTCCACTCTTCCTAAAAGAACCTCACTTCATTCCCACTCCACCACTCTCACTCCACCAATCCCACACCAGCAACCTTAATCCATCACTCCCAGACCACCACTCTCACCTGCGAGCAAGTGAAGCCAGCAACAGTCATCCACTCCCACTCCGCCACCTCCCCATACCCCACCTCCCTCCTTCCCCCGTCACCCTGCCCACTGCCCTCACCCTCCCCTTCCTGCCGCTCCCTGAGAGCCTCCAGCAGGTAGAAGAGCAGCGGCGGCATGAGCTGTAACTCAAACACGCGGGGGGCGTGGCACAGAGGGCAGGCTCGGGATGCCTCTGGGAGGAGGGGCGGCGGAGCGCAGGGCCAGATGGGGTGGCCGTTGAAGCGGTACCTGATGGGAGGGATGGATGGGGAGACACAACACGAGCAGCGGCGGCATGAGCTTTAGCTCAAACACGCGGGGGGCGTGGCAGAGATGGCAGGCTCGGGATGCTTTTGGGAGGAGGGGAGGCAGGACGCAGGGCCAGGTGGGCTGGCCGTTGAAGCGGTACCTGATGGAGGAAGAGGCACAAGAATAGCAGCGGCGGCATGAGCTGCAGCTCAAACACCGTGGGGGGGTTGCAGAAAGGGCAGGTTCTAAATGCGCCTGGGAGGAGGAAAGGCAGGGCGCAGGGCCAGATGGGGTGGCCGTTGAAGCGGTAACTGGTTAGGCGGGAACATGGAGGCATGCAGAAGATGAACAGTGGCGGAATGAGCTGCAGCTCAGATACCCCACCTGGCACTCGCACCACCACCATGCCTAACCCATGCACCAACCAAGCCACACCTCACCCACACACCGCACCACACCACATGCACTGCACCACACCTGACACACTGCTGGGGCTGCTTGTCGAGGCGCTTCTTGAAGCGCAGGTACGGGCGCCCCACGGTGCGCGCCTGGTCGTACTCATACCCCTCCCCCTCCCACTTCTCGCCCTCCCCCGCACCCCCCTCCACCTGCATCGCTGCCACCCCATCCGCCCCATCTCTTGAGCCAGGCACCGCTGCCGCTGATGCTGCTGCCCTGCTTCTGCCTCTGCCTGTCGCCTCCTCTTCCTCCGAAAACACGTAGAAGCACGGTAGCACCCGCAGAGCACCCAGATTTGAGCATGCCACCTGTGCTCCTGCTGCTCCTCCTGCCGATGCTTCCCTGCCTACAGCTGCCTTCTTATCCTTCTTCCCCGCTGCATTGGACTCCCCAGCAGTGCCAGCAGCAGCCTTGGCAGCGGCAGCACTGAGGGACGCGGAGAGAGCATCAAGAGATGCAAGCGGGGGGGTTACCACTTGGGACCCCAACTCGTTACTGTCACATGCTCCGGTGCCAGTGCCCCACTCTCCTCCTGCTGCTACACCCCACTCCGAACCTGATGTGGAAGTGACACCTGAAGGGGCACCTGAAGCATCTGAGGGTGGGGGTGTGAGCCCCCAGCTGTCTGCTGTTGCTGTGCTGCATGCATCCCACGAACTTGCATCCCCCCATGATGACGCTGCCACTGCTGCTGGTGCTGCTGCTGCTGCTGCTGCTGCTCGTGCCGTTTGTTCTGGTGGTGGCGGCGGTTGCTGGGAGGGAAGCTGCTGCAGGCGGATGATCCGCCACCTGCAGCAACCAGGGCAAGGGGGGGGGAAACGATGAAGCATGCCAGCAGAGCACAGGGAGCAGAGCAGAGAGGGCACAGGACGGGAGGATGGGGGCAGACGGAAGTCCGGGGAGTGCGAGAGCAAAGGAGGGACAAGAGAGCGGGCTCACCAGGGAAGGCTCAAAACAGGCAAGGCCTCTGCATGCCCACCCCCCCTCCACCCCCCACTGCTCCCCCTGCCATGCCCCCCTTCAATGCGCCCCTTGCCATGCTTCCCCCCCGCCATGCGCCGCCCCCCCCCCGTGCTTCCCCCCACCATGCTTCCCCCCACCATGCTTCCCCCCACCATGCTTCCCCCCACCATGCTTCCCCCCACCATGCTTCCCCCCACCATGCTTCCCCCCACCATGCTTCCCCCCACCATGCTTCCCCCCACCATGCTTCCCCCCACCATGCTTCCCCCCACCATGCTTCCCCCCACCATGCTTCCCCCCACCATGCTTCCCCCCACCATGCTTCCCCCCACCATGCTCCTCCCACCATGATTCCTCCATATGCCCCCCCTCACCGTGCATCTCACCCACCCCGCCCACAGTGCCTCACCCTTGAGCCTGAGCAGCACATGGCCCTCTCCTTCCCCCTCCTCCCCCTGCCTCCCCTCTCCCCACTCCACACATCTCCACCGCTTCTCCCTGCCCCGTCACCCCACCTTGCACCTCTTCCTTCCCCGTCTCGCCCCTTTCCTCCTGCCCATCCCCTTGCCCCCCTCGCTCTCCGCCTTCCTCCCCCAGCTCCATCCCCCCCAGTTCCTCCGCCACCTCCCCCACCTCCCCATCCGGCCCTGCGCCCGCGCTTCCCCCCACCACCACGTCCCCAAACACAGAGGAGAGGTCCCCAAATGGGGGGAGGGCGGAGGCAGCATCCCCCCCCGTTCCCCCGCTTTCTTCCTTCTCCCCCTCTCTTCCCCCATTGGCGCATGCAAACATGTACAGCACCCGCTCCTCCACTTGCAGGCTGCCACGTGTCACCCCTGCTGCTGCACTGTCTGCTGCTGCGGGAAGGGAGAGCGGGGCATAGGCCTGAAGATGGGGGAATGAGGCGGGGAACGGGGAAGGAAACAGGAACGGGGAGGAAGACGAAGCGGATTGTGGTTGAAACGGAGGATATTAAAAAGGGAAAAAGGGAGCAACACCGGCGGATAATGTTAACATGGCAAGACAAAAAGAAGTCGAGGAACCAGACGAGTGCGTGGGGTGAGTGGAAGCCAAATGCGTAGAGGAGGAGGGGAGGAAGGGGGGAGGAGAGTGGAGAGGGAGGGGCGGAGAAGGGGGATAGGGAGCAGAGGCAGAACGATAATCTGCATAGGGCGCACTGGCACCCACCTGCAGCACGAGGGAGAGTGGCCCATGGCAGAGCGCGCAGTGCAGCAGATGCGGTGGCGGGTGATCCGCCCAAGGGGGCCAGTCCTGAGGGACACGCGCGGCGGAACAGGGGAGCGCGGGGGCGGGGGCACGCGGAGTTAAAGCCGGGGTACAGGGTTCAAGAATTTGAGTTCGGGTTTCACGGGGGGGCTGAAATACGGGAGATGGGCGATGGACGTCGAGAAAAGCCAGCGATCGGAGCCAGATGCGGGCGCGGAAACGGATTTCGTCAAACGATGCGTGTGGCACGAGGATTGCTCACAGGTAAGCCGCCGATCTTGGTCGTATAGTGATCGGACGGCTCACGATCGTCCTTGGCCCATGGGCCAGGCAAGCCCAAGAGCACGCTCGGAGCCATGCAGGGAAGACGTGACAGTACGGGGGATGCGCGTCTAACGATCGGGTGGTGGTGTGACTGTAACGGAAGCTGCGACTCGCAGCCTAGGCACAATGCACTGTCAGCTCCCTGGTGCCACGCGGTCAACCAAGTCAACGCCTCTGCGCGTGATGAAGACAAGGCGCGGGAGGAGAGGACCCGCTGTGCTGGGCTTGGCAAGTTACTTTGGTCAAAGCGAAAGAATGAACGGTCACCGCCATGGTCACCAACGAACGGAACCACCTATGAATCTCAGGACGCGGGGAAAGTAGACGATCGATCGTCAGTAGCGATCGATGTGCGGATCGGTTACCCTATTAACTACGTTGTAACTATGCTACAGTACGCTTTCTGGCCAAAATTTCTGTACAGTGTGAGAATGCGACTGATCACTGTTCGCGGGAAATCTGTCAATTTTCAGCCGCGATCGTTACAACGTCGCGGTCGCCACGTTTCGCCAAACGATCTGCCCACTCGATTGTGGGGATCGATATATGCAGACGATCCTGCGATACTTGCACTTTCAACACGTCCTCAGAACGACTCTCAGTTCCAGTGCTTTTCCCCTCTGAATCGCTCATCGGAATTCGGGGTGACGCACCCGTTTTGCCTGGGACGACGCAGGGGGGTGACGGTTGACCGAGCGTCAGGGCGGCCAACTCCCTCGCGTGAATCCCTCGCCAGGCTGGCGCGGGGCGGGGCTCTGCCCACGCCCCCCGCCCCGGCCCCCCACCCCCAATTCCTACAGAACCCCACGTTACAACCGAGGGGTGGCGAACTCGCGCGCGAGCGACGTCGGGCCTAGTAATTACGGAAAATTATCCTAAGCTGAAGACATGGTATGCAATCTTACCTCCATGATCTACACCGCACACCGTACTCTAGATGAACCTCAATAATGGATGCTTCCTGCTGATTCAGAAGTGTCTGCCATCGTGTCACAGATGACGTGGATCTGCTCCACTCGAAGATCTTTCTCTCCAGCAGCCACGGAAATCTGTGCCAGCTGTTTGTGCCGAATCCGTGGGAAGGGAAGACATGTTGACGCCAAACCACTTCCATCCGAACCACCACGTTTGGCATGACATGTCTTGGAAGCCGTTCTGACTAGGACTTCTTCGACCCTCCTGCGCAACGAAGTCACTCTGAACCTAACTTCTTGCCCAAGGCCTTGCTCCTCACTTGTTTGAACCGCTCTAGGGACGAACCAATGTCGTTCGCATCTCGGCTGTGTCACTCAAGTGAAACTCAAAACGCTACCAATCTGACTCCCTAAGCAAATCTACAGATAGTGTGTACGCTCTACCTACTCAGCCATACGCTTCGTCACCATACCTACTTTCCTGTTTCCCAGCCTTAGCCACATTACCAAGCTTTTGTGACACGCTTCAAGCAACAAGCTTGTTCTGTCCATCATCCTGTGTTCATTTTACGCCAGAAACGTCGCAACAGACGAGCAGTTGTCGGATTCAAACTTGAGGCTCCCATTTTAGGTGAACACTGCTCGCTCTCCTTTCACGACCTTTTATATCTCGCTGTTATCCCACAGGTTATTAGGTGCCCAGAAGTTTATCAGGTTCTTAGAATTATCTACGCCAGTTACCCCTCATGGCGTGCACAGTAGCAGCACTAACGCAGAGCGCGCTCAGCGCTCCCGTGGTGGCTGCGAAGGCGAAAAGCTCATCCGCGTCACAACGATTAACGGCATCTCCGCCACCTCGTTCCATCGGCAGTGGCGATGCTTCTTCTACACACCGGCCAAGGTCGACGGGAATCGCGAGGGGCAAGCCCTTTGGAGTTGAACCGCATGTTAATCTTGTATGTCCTCCCTTGCTGCCCTTCGCTCTCTCATCTACTCGTTATTTCCACCATATTAAAACGATACATCATGGTAGCGATACATCATGGTACCGTTCTTCATTCTCCGTGACCGTTTCTTGATTTCGTTTCTTTCCCGAACTTTCCCTTTCGTTCGGCCGCTTTACGGCGCGGTTCGGCGGCGCAGAACGAGATAAGCGAGGAGGAGAAGGCGCGGCTGGTGGCGGCGGCGCAGAAGAAGATCGCGGCGGAGCTGAAGGAGCGCGAGGAAAAGCTCAAGCAGGACGCCGCCAGGGCGCACCTGGACCACGAGCTCAAGTTCGGCAAGATGATGTTCGACCAGGTGCGTACGCGCTGTAAGCTGTTTCGGGACGTCTTAAAGCTTTAGAATCTGAGGCTGGCGGGGCGAGAGCGCATTTGGACCACCAGCTCAAGTCCGGCAAGACTTCGACCACGTGCGTACGCGCCATAGGCTGTTCTGAGACGGATTCAGACATGAGAAGCTGAGGCAGGACGCGGCGTGAGCGTATCTGGACCAGAATTTCTGGTCCAGTCCAGATGATGTTATGTGTTGCTTTGGAACGTGATGAAACTCGATAATTTGAGGGAGAATGCGGCGAGAGCGCATCTGGATCAGGAAGTCAAGTTAGGCGAGCTGATGTTCGACCAGGTGCGTACGTGCTGTGAGCGATGACGCCACGCACAGCCGCTTTTTGCTACTCAGAACGTGTTTTGATTATGGATGGCCATATCACAACTGAACAACGCAACGATCACGTAATCTACAAGCATGTATGGTTGTTCTTTCTTACCCCTCCATTCTCCGCTCCCTTCAAAACCTCCCCCCTCCATTCACTCTCCTACACCCCACTCCGTTCCCGCTATCTTCCGATGTGCAAAGCGAATGAATGTGGAGCGAGAATGCAAGCAGAACGTAGCCCACCCCCACAGTTTTCATGTGGGGAGAATGTTAGGCGCGTATGAATATTACCCCCTGAATGGCAGCGCTCGTCAAGCATGTGCCAGGATTGATGCTTCATGCTCCGTTCGTTCCCAGCATTGATAGGATGGTGCCAGCATGAATCCAATGCCCTGGCATTTCACAACAAGGTGCTTAAGCAGCCTGTGTCCTTCTGTTAAGGTCCTAACTCCTGCCACATGCCCTCCCACCCGTCCATTTACCCTCCAGGGCAATTTCGAGACGGCAATGGCGCATTACAACAAGGCGCTGAAGCAGCCTGCGTGTTTTTGTTGAGTGCCCTAGATCTAGCCATCATCCCATGTACCTTCCATATTTCCTTGCCTCCTCCAGGGCAATTTCGAGACAGCAATGGCGCATTACAACAAGGTGTTGAAGCAAGCAGGCGAGCAGTCATACCACCACGGCGAGGCCACCCTCCAGAAGGCTGCCTGCCTGGAGAAGCTCGGGCGGGAGGCCGAGGCCAAGAGCCTGTACGAGTCGCTCATCCAGTTCCGCGCGCCCTACCCCAACATCAAGCGCCGCGCCGCGCAGGCTCTCTTCGGCACGGACGCGGAGGAGGCGAAAGAGACGTCGCTGTTTGATGATTATATGTACCGCATGTTCCTGTCGGGGTTTGGGCGGTATATGCCCAAGACTAAGTATGTGGAGACGAAGCAGGAGAAGATGCTGATTCAGCTGCTGCCATGGACGATTCTGGCCATGGCGCCGTTGCTGTTTGTGTGGCTCATGATTCGAGGCAACTAGCTGTTGCTGTGTGAGCTGCTCAGGAAGGAGTGTGGTATGGTGTCTAGTGACACTGAAATTGGCCTATTGTGGGCCGCATCGCTTTTGTTTATTTTATGGATTGTTGTGCTTGCTTTTGTGGATTGTTTATTACCGTATATGAGTCGGCTTGTACAGTTATCCCTTCGCAGCATTCCAGCCAGGACCGTACCACAAATAGGGAATGAGAATCGTAGGCCCTGTTCGGCTGGCGCACAACGAGGGTCCACATTTGACCCTCGAGGGATCAGAAAGGAATGCGGAGGAAATGTCCTCCTCGGCTTCGTCACTCTGAGTTGCTCCCAGACCGAGTTGCAAATTGATTCGTTGGGTGTTCCCACAACGGTTTGGGGCTTTAAATGTCCCCAAAGAAGACTCCCGAACCACCCTCGGTCAGGCTTGGGTGCCTACTGAACAAGGCCTCGAATAGTGCTCAATCACCACTGCATCCGCCATTTTAGGTCTCCACTTCAGGGATCCAGGGCGGTGTAATCGACCACAGTAGGCATAACATCGTGGGTAGTGGACCACGTTTCTGGGTCGTGGGGCTTTATCGAGCATATGGGCCCTTGATTGGCTATATCCACGCCGTCGACAGGACAGTACTGTAGATATCCCGTCACGCTTGGCGCGCGGGAAATCGCGGAGACAGTTCCAGCCGAAAGGGTATTGAGAGAGACACCTACCTCCACGCGCAGGTGAAGTCCTATTTCCAGTTCAGAGGGCGAGGTTTGGATTGAACCCGCCCATTTCGCGAAACTTGATGACAAGGGAAGGGATTTGAAGTGACGTGCAGCCCGCATTCAGCTCGATGGGCGAACATGCTTTGCCTTGCGGAACGCGTTCGCTCTCCTTCATCTCCTCGCCTCTTATTTTTACAATCCTCCCTTGGTCGCATTCACGACATTCTCGGCGCGAGTCCCATTCCCACCGTCCTCCCCGCGTGTACCGCCCCGTCCTCCCCGCGTGTACCGCCCCGTCCTCCCCGCGTGTACCGCCCCGTCCTCCCCGCGTGTACCGCCCCGTCCTCCCCGCGTGTACCGCCCCGTCCTCCCCGCGTGTACCGCCCCGTCCTCCCCGCGTGTACCGCCCCGTCCTCCCCGCGTGTACCGCCCCGTCCTCCCCGCGTGTACCGCCCCGTCCTCCCCGCGTGTACCACCCCGTCCTCCCCGCGTGTACCACCCCGTCCTCCCCATGCCGCAAACTCCCATCCACACACGCCCTGCCGCCTTCTCCCATCCGTATGCGCATCCGTATTTCCTACCTCAACCCCCCGCTTTCATTCTCCCTTCCTCGTGCTCCCCCTTTCAGTCTCCGTGCCTGTGGTTCCCCCCTGATATTCCCTACCGTGTGCTACCTTGATAATATTTCCTACCTCAACGCCCCCCTTTCATTCTCCCTTCCTCGTGCCCCTCCTGTCAGTCGCCGTGCCTGTGGTTCTTCGTGGTGCTCGTTTTGAGTGGGCGACGGTAGCTCATCACATGGCGACCTTCGGCATCGAGGCGCAAGAGTAAGTTGCCTTGCCCTTGTGCGTCCTTGTGCGCCCTTCCGCGCCCTTGTGCGCCCGTCCGCGCCCTTCCGCGCCCTTGTGCGCCCTTCCGCGCCCTTGTGCGCCCAAATTCGCAAGCTGCGTGTCACTCACCCCTCCCGCTTTCCCCCCCCCACCCCACCATAACATCCCTTTCATCCCCGTTACAGTGTAGTTCGCATCATCCTACAGTTCTGCAAGGAGAACGCGCTGCAGCAGACGCTACAGGCGCTGCAGGACGAGTGCCAGGTGCCGCTCAACACGGTCGACTCCCTCGAGACCTTCGCCGCTGACGTCAGTAACGGCCGCTGGGACGCCGTGCTCCCGCAGGTGGCCCAGCTGAAGCTTCCGAGAAAGAAGCTGGAGGACCTGTACGAGCAGGTGGGACCTGTGCGAGCAGGTGGGGCTGGTCTGCTCTAACTGTGGTGAGGCTGGTCTGCTCTTAATGTGCTGTTCGAGAAGGCGGGTGGGTGAGAATGAGTGAGTGAGAGGTGTGTGTGTGTGTGTGTGTGTGCCATGCCAGGTACTGGGATTGCGGGAAGTGCACAGGGACAGTGCTTGATCACCGGGTGCAATACATTTTAATCGTTGCTTTCTCGTCCACCAAATGCCACCTCTCTCCACCTCTATCCACCACCTCTTTCCACGTCACTTCACTGCACTCTACTCCATTCCACCTGGCCCATGACCCCCTGGGCGGCATGTCATTTTGGAGCTGGCGGAGCTGAGGGAGACGGAGACGGCCAATTCTATTTCCAGACAGACGCCCACCATGCCCGACCTTGTCCCACCTCTCTCCACCGCACTGCACCGCACTCCACCTGCCGCATGCAGATCATTTTGGAGCTGGCGGAGTTGAGGGAGACGGAGACGGCCAAGTCCATCCTCAGACAGACGCCCACCATGCTCGCCATGCGCCAGGTGCGCCTTGCTGTGTGTGTGCTGCGTGATGCCATGCCATGCCATGCTGGTCTGTTTCGTGATGCCATGCCATGCCATGCTGGTCTGTTTCGTGATGCCATGCCATGCCATGCTGGTCTGTTTCGTGATGCCATGCCATGCCATGCTGGTGTGTGCTCACCATGCTCGCCATGCGCCAGGTGGGTGGGTGTGTGCGCACATGCCGCGCCATGCGCCATGTGGGTCACATGCTAGCACGCTGGTGCAATGGTTGTATGTATGTACGTATGTGCTGGACAGACACCCGCATGCCAGTACCCTGTCTCTACTGCAACCCATTCCACCGTGACCCCATGTGCTTCCACTGCAACCCATTCCACCGTGACCCCATGTGCTTCCACTGCAACCCATTCCACCGTGACCCCATGTGCTTCCACTGCAACCCATTCCACCGTGACCCCATGTGCTTCCACTGCAACCCATTCCACCGTGACCCCATGTGCTTCCACTGCAACCCATTCCACCGTGACCCCATGTGCTTCCACTGCAACCCATTCCACCGTGACCCCATGTGCTTCCACTGCAACCCCACGACCCGGTTCCAACGCCCTGCCCCGTCCCCCCTCCCCCACTGGGCCGGCCCACCAGGACCAACCGGACCGCTATCTGAAGCTGGACCATCTGCTGGCGGGGGTAGACTATCCCGTGTGACTTCTCTTCTGGTTTTGCTCCCCGTACCTACCACGGTACCCCCCCTCCCCCTCTCCGCCCGCCCACCAGGACCAACCGGACCGCTATCTGAAGCTGGACCATCTGCTGGCGGGGGTAGACTATCCCGAGTGACTTCTCTTCTGGTTTTGCTCCCCGTACCTACCACGGTACCCCCCCTCCCCCTCTCCGCCCGCCCACCAGGACCAACCGGACCGCTATCTGAAGCTGGACCATCTGCTGGCGGGGGTAGACTATCCCGTGTGACTTCTCTTCTGGTTTTGCTCCCCGTACCTACCACGGTACCCCCCCTCCCCCTCTCCGCCCGCCCACCAGGACCAACCGGACCGCTATCTGAAGCTGGACCATCTGCTGGCGCGGGCATACTTCGACCCCCGCGAGGTGAGCTCGTGCCTCTTGTCTCTCGCCTCTTGTCTCGTGCCTCTTGTCTCTCGCCTCTCGCCTCTTGCCTCTCGCCTCTTGTCTCTCGCCTCTTGTCTCTCGCCTCTTGTCTCTCGCCTCTTGTCTCTCGCCTCTTGCCTCTCGCCTCTTGTCTCTCGCCTCTTGTCTCTCGCCTCTTGTCTCTCGCCTCTTGTCTCTCGCCTCTTGTCTCTCGCCTCTTGTCTCTCGCCTCTTGTCTCTCGCCTCTTGTCTCTCGCCTCTTGTCTCTCGCCTCTTGTCTCTCGCCTCTTGTCTCTCGCCTCTTGTCTCTCGCCTCTTGTCTCTCGCCTCTTGTCTCTCGCCTCTTGTCTCTCGCCTCTTGTCTCTCGCCTCTTGTCTCTCGCCTCTTGTCTCTCGCCTCTTGTCTCTCGCCTCTTGTCTCTCGCCTCTTGTCTCTCGCCTCTTGTCTCTCGCCTCTTGTCTCTCGCCTCTTGTCTCTCGCCTCTTGTCTCTCGTCTCTTGTCTCTCGCCTCTTGTCTCTCGCCTCTTGTCTCTCGCCTCTTGTCTCTCGCCTCTTGTCTCTCGCCTCTTGTCTCTCGCCTCTTGTCTCTCGTCTCTTGTCTCTCGCCTCTTGTCTCTCGCCTCTTGTCTCTCGCCTCTTGTCTCTCGCCTCTTGTCTCTCGTCTCTTGTCTCTCGTCTCTTGTCTCTCGCCTCTTGTCTCTCGCCTCTTGTCTCTCGCCTCTTGTCTCTCGTCTCTTGTCTCTCGCCTCTTGTCTCTCGCCTCTTGTCTCTCGCCTCTTGTCTCTCGCCTCTTGTCTCTCGCCTCTTGTCTCTCGCCTCTTGTCTCTCGCCTCTCGTCTCTCGCCTCTCGCTTCTCGCCTCTTGCTTCTCCGTCACTCATTCCTTGCTCTCGTCACGTCACATGGCAACGAGGTGTATGTAAGTCCAGTGTTTCTGTTGCCGTGGTGATGATTGCATTGCAGGCATACGGGGATTCCACCAAGGAGAGGAGACGAGCAGAGATCGCACATGGTGAGAGGGGCCTGAGATGGAATGGGTAACATGTGCACGCATGGTGGCAATAGTGGCAATAGTGCCATGGTATGCATGATAGGAGCTTGTGGAATGCGAGGAAGGGGCGATGAGAAAAAATCAGCCTATGGCTGAAGTGCATCGCAGTGCATCGCACTGCATCGCATTGCACCAGATTTCTGCTGCTGGTTTACCCCCCTACCCCTCCCTGTATCCACCATATTGCTGTCATGGTGTCTGTCTGTCCCTTGGCACCCCTTCCTCTCCTCTCCACACCTCGTTCCACCGGAGTTCATTCTCTGGCCCTCTCCTCTCGTCTCCTCCCATGCTCTCTGCTCCCCTCCTCTCCTCACCTCTCCTCTCCTCTCCTCTCCTCTACTCTCCTCTCCTCTCCTCTCCTCTCATGCTCTCTGCTTCCCTTCTCTTCTCTCCTATCATCCTCTCCTCTCCTCTTCTCTCCTCTCCTCTCCTCTCCTCTCCTCTCCTCTCCTCTCCTCTCCTCTCATCCTCTCCCCTCCTCTCTTCTCTCCTCTCATGCTCTCCACTCCATTCCTCCCATCGCATCTACCCTACTCTTCAATGTGTTTTCATTCCGTGGTCATTCCACTTCCCCACTTCCCACTTCCCCACCTCCACACCTCCCCACATTCAAACTTCTCCACCTCTCCGCCTCCCCACCCCACCTCCCCATCGCCCTTTCTTTCTCCCCATGACCCCATGCCTTACCAGGGCGGCCTCAGGAGGCAACAGTGGTCCCGCCCTCTCCACTCATGCCCTCCTCTCATCTTCTACCCACTTCTTCCTTCTCCACTGTTTTATTCTTCCTCCTTCGCCCCACCTCTCGATCTTCTCACCGTCCCACCTCCCCTCTGCCCACCTGCCCACCTGCCCACCTGCCCATCTCCCCATCCCATCTACCCATGCACCACCAGGCCTATCGCAGGAGGTGACAGTGGTGCCCCCCTCGCGTCTCATGGTGCTGCTAGGCCAGGCGCTCAAGTGGCAGCAGCACCAAGGTCAGCTGTCTCCGTCATTGTACCATGCCGCCCTCTTTCCACTGCTTATACCATATTCCTCTTCTCACTCTCACACTGGTGCCCCCCTCGCGCCTCATTGTGCTGTTACAACAGGTGCTAAGTGGCATCAGCACCAAGGTCCGCTGTTCCTCTCCGTCCTTGTGACATGCTTCTTGTGTGCCATGCTTCTTGTGTGACAATGCCTGTGCCATGCCCCTGTCGCCATGTACATAAATCATGCTCCTGCTGCTACCATTTGCCTTGTGCCATGCACATGCCAGTTTGATCTCTTCCGAGGAGAGGGACAGCAGCAGTGAAGGCTGCAGAGGAGGACGACTTGTGAGACGTCTGAAGAAGCAATGTCTCTGTTCCCGTGCATGCATGCATGCAGGTCTGCTTCCCCCCGGCACGCAGTTTGATCTGTTCCGAGGAACAGCAGCAGTGAAGGCGGATGAGGATGAAGCATACCCCACACAGCTCCTGCACACCATCAAGGTGAGAAGAAGTGGCTTGACCCGGGCCGAGCAACAAGAGCTCCAAAAGTTTTTTAAGGACTCCTAAAAACGAACGAGGTGTACCCCACCCACACAACTCTTGCATACCATCGAGGTGAGCAGAAACGGTTTTGACCTGCAGCAGGAGTTGACTTGCAGTAGGAGTTGACTTGCAGCAGGAGTTGACCTGCAGCAGGAGTTGACCTGCAGCAGGAGTTGTGCCAAGGTTATTCCGCCCTCCCACATGTTCCCCTCGTGTTTCTTCACGAGTCCGCTTGCTTGGTTCTCATCCAACCACTCTCATCTCAACTCACTTTGAAAGAAAAACCGCCTTGAATCACCTTGCCTGCTTCTACCTACTTTTCTCCCTCGTTTTGCTGGCCCATCCCACCCACCACCACACACTCTTCCCTCCATTTCGGTTCCTTATCTTTGCCTGCGCCACCCTTCCTCTCTCCTTCTCGTCCCTCGCCTCATGCAGTTTGGAAAGAAGAGTCATCCCGAATCGGCTCGCTTTGCTCCTGACGGCCAGTGCCTTGCGTCCTCCTCCATCGATGGATTTATCGAGGTGTGCGTGGATGCAATGCAGTTAGAGTGGGTGCAGTGCGGTGAGAACGGGCGCTGAGCTTGCAGTTGCCGTGATTCATTGGTTTCATGCAAAAGTGCATCGCGGGCCACTCCACTAGGCCCTCCCCCACTAATGCTCTGGCACATTTCATTTGTTCTAGGCACCTAAGAACTGTCTCATTGCGTCCAGGCCCTCACCGCCAGTGCTCACCGCCAGTGCTCACGTCCATGCCGTCACCGCTGTGCTCTGTTCTCTATTTATTTCCTTTCCCAACCCATGACTTGCTTTATCTTCACCTCTTTCCGGAAGCTTCATTTAGATCCATGAACCTCCATGAACCTCCATGAAGCTGCTGTTTCAATCCCCTAATTGCCTTGGTGCCTGCCGGCCCCCCCCCCCTGCTCCCGCACTATCCCCATGCGTGCATGCATGGGCAGGTATGGGACTTCCTCTCAGGCAAGCTCAAGAAGGACCTGCAGTACCAAGCCGAGGTGGGTGCGTGTGTGACCATGTGCTGAATCTGTTTCTGAGGAATCTAAAAAAGCATCTTTTGAGGCGCCTCAAAAGTGACCATTTGCTGAATCTGTTTTTGAGGAATCTAAAAAAGCAGATGCAGTACCAAGCAGAGGTGGGTGGCTGTGTGGCCATGTGCGTGCTAGCATGGCGTGAAGGCTGGAAACACCTGTAGCGTCAAGTAGTGGTGGTTGGTTGCATGGATGGTTGAATGGGTGATGGCATGGGTGTGCCCAGTGCTGCGTGCATCAGCAGTCTGGCTCTTGCTTACAATCAACCACCCCACCCCGTCCCACCCCGCCCCACCCCGTCCCACCCCCAGGCGACGTTCATGATACACGAGGAGGCAGTGCTGTGTGTGGGGTGGACTGGTTTAGCATGTCATCTTAATGTGTTCCTGCCCCCCCTCCCTGCCACCCCTCCCCCAGGCAGCGTTCATGATACACGAGGAGGCAGTGCCGTGTGCATCAGCAGCCTACCTGCCAGTAGCCATCTCATCCCACCCCACCCCACCCCATCCCACGCCACCACACCCCACCCTCCAGGCGACGTTCATGATGCATGAGGAGGCGGTGCTGTGTGCCAGAGTGCGCTGTGTGTGTGCATCAACCAACCTTCCACATCCCACTCCACCCCACCCCACCCCACCCCACGCCACCCCACCGTCCAGGCAACGTTCATGATGCATGAGGAGGCAGTGCTGTGTGTGGGGTGGAGCCGGGACTCGGAGATGCTGGCCTCGGGGTCACAGGACGGCAAAATCAAGGTGACCAGCTTGCTGGGGTTGGGTTGGGTTGGGTGAATGGAGCATGCTCATTGCTCCCTGTTGCATTGCTTTGCTGCTTGCCTCGGGGTCTCAGCATGGCAAGATCAAGGTGACTGGCGCGCGGGCTGGGTGCATGGTGCATGGTGCATGGTGCATGGTGCGTGGTGCATGGTGCATGGTGCTTGATGTGTGGTGCGTGGTGCATGGTGCGTGGTCCATGTTCCTTGCGGCATGTGCCATGCTGGCATGTGCCATGGTGGCATGTGCCATGGTGGCATGTGCCATGGTGGCATGTGCCATGGTGGCAGGCATCCCGATGCCATGGTAATGCACGGCCCCTTCTTGTCCCTCGCAACACGCATCCCTCACGCCCTCCTCTCTCCACCCCCTTCTCTCCACCGCTAACAGGTGTGGCGGGTGCGCACAGGGCAGTGTCTGAGGCGCTTTGACAAGGCGCACTCACAGGGAGTCACCTCGGTGGCGTTCTCTCGGGATGGCAGTCACCTGCTCAGCGCCTCCTTTGATGGCACCGCCAGGTATGGCGCCCCGTATTGCTGTCTTCCGTGGTAACTTCAGTTGTGTTATCATCCATATTTCACGCTCTCTCCCTCTGGCTTACTTCCCCAGGGTGCACGCACGGGCTCAAGTCAGGCGAAACCCCTGTCTCAAGGAGTTCCGAGGGGCACATGTCTTTTGTCAACGGTGCTGTCTATTCTGATGCTCGCCATGTTGCCATGTCGAACTCATGCCCTCCCTCTGTTTCATGCTCTCCCTCTCTTTCATGCTCTCCCTCTGTTTCATGCTCTCCCTCTCTTTCATGCTCTCCCTCTGTTTCATGCTCTCCCTCTCTTTCATGCTCTCCCTCTGTTTCATGCTCTCCCTCTCTTTCATGCTCTCCCTCTGTTTCATGCTCTCCCTCTCTTTCATGCTCTCCCTCTGTTTCATGCTCTCCCTCTCTTTCATGCTCTCCCTCTGTTTCATGCTCTCCCTCTCTTTCATGCTCTCCCTCTGTTTCATGCTCTCCCTCTCTTTCATGCTCTCCCTCTGTTTCATGCTCTCCCTCTCTTTCATGCTCTCCCTCTGTTTCATGCTCTCCCTCTCTTTCATGCTCTCCCTCTGTTTCATGCTCTCCCTCTCTTTCATGCTCTCCCTCTGTTTCATGCTCTCCCTCTCTTTCATGCTCTCCCTCTGTTTCATGCTCTCCCTCTCTTTCATGCTCTCCCTCTGTTTCATGCTCTCCCTCTCTTTCATGCTCTCCCTCTGTTTCATGCTCTCCCTCTCTTTCATGCTCTCCCTCTGTTTCATGCTCTCCCTCTCTTTCATGCTCTCCCTCTGTTTCATGCTCTCCCTCTCTTTCATGCTCTCCCTCTGTTTCATGCTCTCCCTCTCTTTCATGCTCTCCCTCTGTTTCATGCTCTCCCTCTCTTTCATGCTCTCCCTCTGTTTCATGCTCTCCCTCTCTTTCATGCTCTCCCTCTCTTTCATGCTCTCCCTCTGTTTCATGCTCTCCCTCTCTTTCATGCTCTCCCTCTGTTTCATGCTCTCCCTCTCTTTCACGCTCTCCCTCTGTTTCATGCTCTCCCTCTCTTTCATGCTCTCCCTCTCTTTCATGCTCTCCCTCTCTTTTATGCTCTCCCTCTCTTTCATGCTCTCCCTCTCTTTCATGCTCTCCCTCTGTTTCATGCTCTCCCTCTCTTTCATGCTCTCCCTCTGTTTCATGCTCTCCCTCTCTTTCATGCTCTCCCTCTCTTTCATGCTCTCCCTCTCTTTCATGCTCTCCCTCTGTTTCATGCTCTCCCTCTCTTTCATGCTCTCCCTCTCTTTCATGCTCTCCCTCTCTTTCATGCTCTCCCTCTGTTTCATGCTCTCCTCTCTTCATGCTCTCCCTCTCTTTCATGCTCTCCCTCTCTTTCATGCTCTCCCTCTGTTTCATGCTCTCCCTCTCTTTCATGCTCTCCCTCTGTTTCATGCTCTCCCTCTCTTTCATGCTCTCCCTCTGTTTCATGCTCTCCCTCTCTTTCATGCTCTCCCTCTGTTTCATGCTCTCCCTCTCTTTCATGCTCTCCCTCTGTTTCATGCTCTCCCTCTCTTTCATGCTCTCCCTCTGTTTCATGCTCTCCCTCTCTTTCATGCTCTCCCTCTGTTTCATGCTCTCCCTCTCTTTCATGCTCTCCCTCTGTTTCATGCTCTCCCTCTCTTTCATGCTCTCCCTCTGTTTCATGCTCTCCCTCTCTTTCATGCTCTCCCTCTGTTTCATGCTCTCCCTCTCTTTCATGCTCTCCCTCTGTTTCATGCTCTCCCTCTCTTTCATGCTCTCCCTCTGTTTCATGCTCTCCCTCTCTTTCATGCTCTCCCTCTGTTTCATGCTCTCCCTCTCTTTCATGCTCTCCCTCTGTTTCATGCTCTCCCTCTCTTTCATGCTCTCCCTCTGTTTCATGCTCTCCCTCTCTTTCATGCTCTCCCTCTGTTTCATGCTCTCCCTCTCTTTCATGCTCTCCCTCTGTTTCATGCTCTCCCTCTCTTTCATGCTCTCCCTCTGTTTCATGCTCTCCCTCTCTTTCATGCTCTCCCTCTGTTTCATGCTCTCCCTCTCTTTCATGCTCTCCCTCTGTTTCATGCTCTCCCTCTCTTTCATGCTCTCCCTCTCTTTCATGCTCTCCCTCTCTTTCATGCTCTCCCTCTCTTTCATGCTCTCCCTCTCTTTCATGCTCTCCCTCTCTTTCATGCTCTCCCTCTCTTTCATGCTCTCCCTCTCTTTCATGCTCTCCCTCTGTTTCATGCTCTCCCTCTCTTTCATGCTCTCCCTCTGTTTCATGCTCTCCCTCTCTTTCATGCTCTCCCTCTGTTTCATGCTCTCCCTCTCTTTCATGCTCTCCCTCTGTTTCATGCTCTCCCTCTCTTTCATGCTCTCCCTCTGTTTCATGCTCTCCCTCTCTTCATGCTCTCCCTCTCTTTCATGCTCTCCCTCTCTTTCATGCTCTCCCTCTCTTTCATGCTCTCCCTCTCTTTCATGCTCTCCCTCTCTTTCATGCTCTCCCTCTCTTTCATGCTCTCCCTCTGTTTCATGCTCTCCCTCTCTTTCATGCTCTCCCTCTGTTTCATGCTCTCCCTCTGTTTCATGCTCTCCCTCTCTTTCATGCTCTCCCTCTCTTTCATGCTCTCCCTCTCTTTCATGCTCTCCCTCTCTTTCATGCTCTCCCTCTCTTTCATGCTCTCCCTCTCTTTCATGCTCTCCCTCTCTTTCATGCTCTCCCTCTCTTTCATGCTCTCCCTCTCTTTCATGCTCTCCCTCTCTTTCATGCTCTCCCTCTCTTTCATGCTCTCCCTCTCTTTCATGCTCTCCCTCTCTTTCATGCTCTCCCTCTCTTTCATGCTCTCCCTCTCTTTCATGCTCTCCCTCTCTTTCATGCTCTCCCTCTCTTTCATGCTCTCCCTCTCTTTCATGCTCTCCCTCTCTTTCATGCTCTCCCTCTCTTTCATGCTCTCCCTCTCTTTCATGCTCTCCCTCTCTTTCATGCTCTCCCTCTCTTTCATGCTCTCCCTCTCTTTCATGCTATCCCTCTCTTTCATGCTCTCCCTCTCTTTCATGCTCTCCCTCTCTTTCATGCTCTCCCTCTCTTTCATGATCTCCCTCTCTTTCATGCTCTCCCTCTCTTTCATGCTCTCCCTCTCTTTTATGCTCTCCCTCTCTTTTATGCTCTCCCTCTCTTTCATGCTCTCCCTCTCTTTCATGCTCTCCCTCTCTTTCATGCTCTCCCTCTCTTTCATGCTCTCCCTCTCTTTCATGCTCTCCCTCTCTTTCATGCTCTCCCTCTCTTTCATGCTCTCCCTCTCTTTCATGCTCTCCCTCTCTTTCATGCTCTCCCTCTCTTTCATGCTCTCCCTCTCTTTCATGCTCTCCCTCTCTTTCATGCTCTCCCTCTCTTTCATGCTCTCCCTCTCTTTCATGCTCTCCCTCTCTTTCATGCTCTCCCTCTCTTTCATGCTCTCCCTCTCTTTCATGCTCTCCCTCTCTTTCATGCTCTCCCTCTCTTTCATGCTCTCCCTCTCTTTCATGCTCTCCCTCTCTTTCATGCTCTCCCTCTCTTTCATGCTCTCCCTCTCTTTCATGCTCTCCCTCTCTTTCATGCTCTCCCTCTCTTTCATGCTCTCCCTCTCTTTCATGCTCTCCCTCTCTTTCATGCTCTCCCTCTCTTTCATGCTCTCCCTCTCTTTCATGCTCTCCCTCTCTTTCATGCTCTCCCTCTCTTTCATGCTCTCCCTCTCTTTCATGCTCTCCCTCTCTTTCATGCTCTCCCTCTCTTTCATGCTCTCCCTCTCTTTCATGCTCTCCCTCTCTTTCATGCTCTCCCTCTCTTTCATGCTCTCCCTCTCTTTCATGCTCTCCCTCTCTTCATGCTCCTCCCTCTCTTTCATGCTCTCCCTCTCTTTCATGCTCTCCCTCTCTTTCATGCTCTCCCTCTCTTTCATGCTCTCCCTCTCTTTCATGCTCTCCCTCTCTTTCATGCTCTCCCTCTCTTTCATGCTCTCCCTCTCTTTCATGCTCTCCCTCTCTTTCATGCTCTCCCTCTCTTTCATGCTCTCCCTCTCTTTCATGCTCTCCCTCTCTTTCATGCTCTCCCTCTCTTTCATGCTCTCCCTCTCTTTCATGCTCTCCCTCTCTTTCATGCTCTCCCTCTCTTTCATGCTCTCCCTCTCTTTCATGCTCTCCCTCTCTTTCATGCTCTCCCTCTCTTTCATGCTCTCCCTCTCTTTCATGCTCTCCCTCTCTTTCATGCTCTCCCTCTCTTTCATGCTCTCCCTCTCTTTCATGCTCTCCCTCTCTTTCATGCTCTCCCTCTCTTTCATGCTCTCCCTCTCTTTCATGCTCTCCCTCTCTTTCATGCTCTCCCTCTCTTTCATGCTCTCCCTCTCTTTCATGCTCTCCCTCTCTTTCATGCTCTCCCTCTCTTTCATGCTCTCCCTCTCTTTCATGCTCTCCCTCTCTTTCATGCTCTCCCTCTCTTTCATGCTCTCCCTCTCTTTCATGCTCTCCCTCTCTTTCATGCTCTCCCTCTCTTTCATGCTCTCCCTCTCTTTCATGCTCTCCCTCTCTTTCATGCTCTCCCTCTCTTTCATGCTCTCCCTCTCTTTCATGCTCTCCCTCTCTTTCATGCTCTCCCTCTCTTTCATGCTCTCCCTCTCTTCATGCTCTCCCTCTACTTTCATGCTCTCCCTCTCTTTCATGCTCTCCTCTCTTTCATGCTCTCCCTCTCTTTCATGCTCTCCCTCTCTTTCATGCTCTCCCTCTCTTTCATGCTCTCCCTCTCTTTCATGCTCTCCCTCTCTTTCATGCTCTCCCTCTCTTTCATGCTCTCCCTCTCTTTCATGCTCTCCCTCTCTTTCATGCTCTCCTCTCTTTCATGCTCTCCCTCTCTTTCATGCTCTCCCTCTCTTTCATGCTCTCCCTCTCGTTTCATGCTCTCCCTCTCTTTCATGCTCTCCCTCTCTTTCATGCTCTCCCTCTCTTTCATGCTCTCCCTCTGTTTCATGCTCTCCCTCTCTTTCATGCTCTCCCTCGTTTCATGCTCTCCCTCTCTTTCATGCTCTCCCTCTCTTTCATGCTCTCCCTCTCTTTCATGCTCTCCCTCTCTTTCATGCTCTCCCTCTCTTTCATGCTCTCCTCTCTTTCATGCTCTCCCTCTCTTTCATGCTCTCCCTCTCTTTCATGCTCTCCCTCTCGTTTCATGCTCTCCCTCTCTTTCATGCTCTCCCTCTCTTTCATGCTCTCCCTCTCTTTCATGCTCTCCTCTCTGTCATGCTCTCCCTCTCTTTCATGCTCTCCCTCTCTTTCATGCTCTCCCTCTCTTTCATGCTCTCCCTCTCTTTCATGCTCTCCCTCTCTTTCATGCTCTCCCTCTCTTTCATGCTCTCCCTCTCTTTCATGCTCTCCCTCTCTTTCATGCTCTCCCTCTCTTTCATGCTCTCCCTCTCTTTCATGCTCTCCCTCTTTCATGCTCTCCCTCTCTTTCATGCTCTCCCTCTCTTTCATGCTCTCCCTCTCTTTCATGCTCTCCCTCTCTTTCATGCTCTCCCTCTCTTTCATGCTCTCCCTCTCTTTCATGCTCTCCCTCTCTTTCATGCTCTCCCTCTCTTTCATGCTCTCCCTCTCTTTCATGCTCTCCCTCTCTTTCATGCTCTCCCTCTCTTTCATGCTCTCCCTCTCTTTCATGCTCTCCCTCTCTTTCATGCTCTCCCTCTCTTTCATGCTCTCCCTCTGTTTCATGCTCTCCCTCTCTTTCATGCTCTCCCTCTCTTTCATGCTCTCCCTCTCTTTCATGCTCTCCCTCTCTTTCATGCTCTCCCTCTCTTTCATGCTCTCCCTCTCTTTCATGCTCTCCCTCTCTTTCATGCTCTCCCTCTCTTTCATGCTCTCCCTCTCTTTCATGCTCTCCTCTCTTTCATGCTCTCCCTCTCTTTCATGCTCTCCCTCTCTTTCATGCTCTCCCTCTCTTCATGCTCTCCCTCTCTTTCATGCTCTCCCTCTCTTTCATGCTCTCCCTCTCTTTCATGCTCTCCCTCTCTTTCATGCTCTCCCTCTCTTTCATGCTCTCCCTCTCTTTCATGCTCTCCCTCTCTTCATGCTCTCCCTCTCTTTCATGCTCTCCCTCTCTTTCATGCTCTCCCTCTCTTTCATGCTCTCCCTCTCTTTCATGCTCTCCCTCTCTTTCATGCTCTCCCTCTCTTTCATGCTCTCCCTCTCTTTCATGCTCTCCCTCTCTTTCATGCTCTCCCTCTCTTTCATGCTCTCCCTCTCTTTCATGCTCTCCCTCTCTTTCATGCTCTCCCTCTCTTTCATGCTCTCCCTCTCTTTCATGCTCTCCCTCTCTTTCATGCTCTCCCTCTCTTTCATGCTCTCCCTCTCTTTCATGCTCTCCCTCTCTTTCATGCTCTCCCTCTCTTTCATGCTCTCCCTCTCTTTCATGCTCTCCCTCTCTTTCATGCTCTCCCTCTCTTTCATGCTCTCCCTCTCTTTCATGCTCTCCCTCTCTTTCATGCTCTCCCTCTCTTTCATGCTCTCCCTCTCTTTCATGCTCTCCCTCTTCATGCTCTCCCTCTCTTCATGCTCTCCCTCTCTTTCATGCTCTCCCTCTCTTTCATGCTCTCCCTCTCTTTCATGCTCTCCCTCTCTTTCATGCTCTCCCTCTCTTCATGCTCCCTCTCTTTCATGCTCTCCCTCTCTTTCATGCTCTCCCTCTCTTTCATGCTCTCCCTCTCTTTCATGCTCTCCCTCTCTTTCATGCTCTCCCTCTCTTTCATGCTCTCCCTCTCTTTCATGCTCTCCCTCTCTTTCATGCTCTCCCTCTCTTTCATGCTCTCCCTCTCTTTCATGCTCTCCCTCTCTTTCATGCTCTCCCTCTCTTTCATGCTCTCCCTCTCTTTCATGCTCTCCCTCTCTTTCATGCTCTCCCTCTCTTTCATGCTCTCCCTCTCTTTCATGCTCTCCCTCTCTTTCATGCTCTCCCTCTCTTTCATGCTCTCCCTCTCTTTCATGCTCTCCTCTCCTTTCATGCTCTCCCTCTCTTTCATGCTCTCCCTCTCTTTCATGCTCTCCCTCTACTTTCAATGCTCTCCCTCTCTTTCATGCTCCTCCCCTCTCTTTCATGCTCTCCCTCTCTTTCATGCTCTCCCTCTCTTTCATGCTCTCCCTCTCTTTCATGCCTCCCTCTCTTTCATGCTCTCCCTCTCTTTTCATGCTCTCCCTCTCTTTCATGCTCTCCCTCTCTTTCATGCTCTCCCTCTCTTTCATGCTCTCCCTCTCTTTCATGCTCTCCCTCTCTTTCATGCTCTCCCTCTCTTTCATGCTCCCTCTCTTTCATGCTCTCCCTCTCTTTCATGCTCTCCCTCTCTTTCATGCTCTCCCTCTCTTTCATGCTCTCCTCTCTTTCATGCTCTCCCGCTCTTTCATGCTCTCCCTCTCTTTCCATGCTCTCCCCTCTCTTTCATGCTCTCCCTCTCTTTCATGCTCTCCCTCTCTTTCATGCTCTCCCTCTCTTTCATGCTCTCCCTCTCTTTCATGCTCTCCCTCTCTTTTCATGCTCTCCCTCACCTAACTCTTCATGCTCTCCCTCTCTTTCATGCTCTCCTCTCTTCATGCTCTCCCTCTCTTTCATGCTCTCCCTCTCTTTCATGCTCTCCCTCTCTTTCATGCTCTCCCTCTCTTTCATGCTCTCCCTCTCTTTCATGCTCTCCCTCTCTTTCATGCTCTCCCTCTCTTTCATGCTCTCCCTCTCTTTCATGCTCTCCCTCTCTTTCATGCTCTCCCTCTCTTTCATGCTCTCCCTCTCTTTCAATGCTCTCCCCTCTCTCTTTCATGCTCTCCTCTTCCTCTCCTCTTTCATGCTCTCCCTCTCTTTCATGCTCTCCCCTCTCTTTCATGCTCTCCCTCTCTTTCATGCTCTCCCTCTCTTTCATGCTCTCCCTCTCTTTCATGCTCTCCCTCTCTTTCATGCTCTCCCTCTCTTTCATGCTCTCCCTCTCTTTCATGCTCTCCCTCTCTTTCATGCTCTCCCTCTCTTTCATGCTCTCCCTCTCTTTCATGCTCTCCCTCTCTTTCATGCTCTCCCTCTCTTTCATGCTCTCCCTC